ATCTCTCTATTGCTAGATGACTGTCTACCTCATTCACTCTGTAAAGAATGGGTGATACCGGGCCCTTTTGCCTCATAATCCCCTCGTACTGGGCCTCCTTTCTTTGCCCGGAAGATTTTTTGCACGTAGTGTTTAAGAATTTGGTATACTAAATAAACCAAACTGAACATGAGTTGAGTATTCGCTGCCTGCACTTTCAGAAAAATATCCTTTTTTTCTTCTCTTTTACGAATTTGCGAATTCGACGCGGAGCTGTACTTTTTTATGGAACTGTCTATGTGGTTCGCAAATCAGCTCGATTTCGTCTCCCTCTCAAACAAACTAGTTCACACCTCGCCATTCGCAGTCAATTCCCATGAAAAAAATATTAAATCATAATATAGAAAAGGGCGGAAGTGGTGTAGACAAGTGGCGCGCTTACCACGCGAGCGGTCCGGGATCAAATCCTGGGTCGTGAGTCGCCCGGGCCAACCAAGCCTTCCATCCCTCCGGGGTCGGTTAATTGGTACCAGACTTGTCTGGGAGGATAAAAACACTGACTTGTACATCGGCTGGCCCCCGCAAGTCATTGTATAGGCCACATCGCATTCAAACGCCACTACGAATGTACAAATGGAAGTAGAATGCGTGCCGCATCCCCAAAGGGATTGATCAACGGCAAATGCTTTATCCTTTTATTTTTTTATATCGGAGTAGTTATAAGGGATAAAAAAAATCTGATGCCGAGAAGATCAACTTACCTGCGGTGAGTATGCGCCACGGATGATCGGCTAAGATATGTGCGAGTCCAATGCGCAATACCACGTTGAACAATGACTGTATCGAGGTAATCCATCTCCATAGCTTCCTCTTTGCTGCCCCCATGAATGTGTTACCATCAACCATACCATTCTTTGTCTTTGTTTGTATAAGGTGCTGCTTTGTGGCTGCCTTCGAGTTCGCACTGCGATTTTTTCACAAGTATGCTGGGTTGTAAAGCGACAACTTTTGCGCAAGAGGGACTAGAACCGTCCGACAAAGTTATTGATACAATTAGTTCATCAAAACTAGGTTGGTATGAAATGTGCCCGACAGCGTAGCGTAACCTGCGTAGCGCACTTGCCCGGAAAAGCGAGGAGGGCGGCGGGGATTCGGCGCCGCTTGTTAGCAACAGGCAAATGCTTCGATCCACTGAGCAATCTAGGGAAACGGTACTTGATTTGGACGAGAGGCATTTCATGTCCCTAAGCTTCCTAATTCCCTTTCATATGATGATTCCCCAAGGTGTTCAAAGTGGACTGGTCAGCAGGCCGGTGAAACGCGAAAACCTGACAAATCTTTGAAAAAACATATGGATCGAACTCGCGGTTTATATCAGAGGTGCAGACATGAGCTCTACCGTTTCTGTAGCGCGACGTCGCCGCTATCCTCGCCTCGAGCTTGCAGTCTCGCCTCGCCTCAATGATCACCAATTATTGAGTGACCTGCATGTATAATAGCGATATTCGACAAAGGTTCCACAAAGTGTTTAAGTTGACCAATCACAGTCACACAAACCGCTCCAGAGACTCTATTCATGAATGCTCAACGGAGGATCGAAGTCAAGTGGAAGTGACTAATCCCTCACAAACCAGAATCTATCAGAATACAACAAGTTGCGAAGAGCTGGATCATGGAATGTTACCAGGCGCGCAACACAAAATTGTGGTTCCGCGTTGTCCCAGATGATGTAGTATTAAAATGGACAGCGAAGACATGGGGTCCCCATGGAGGCGGGTCAGAAGAAGATCCCCTACACACCAGGTACATAATAAGAATACTTATTGCAAATGCTTGAAGCCGTATTCATTAGTACTGGTAATAGACTTATAAGTTTGCAGCGTAAGTTGAATCTCGGTAGATGCGGTTGATCCTCCCGACCGAACACTCCTATGCTATGGCGCGCTTTCTGATCTTCGATAAATTCTTGACGTCAGGCACATGTTGCCTTGTACTGCAATTACGTCAAGCCTGAATGGGGAAACATAGGGGAATTTAGTAGAAATTGCATAATGTAAATCACTGAGTCCTCGCGTTCACTTTAAAGCGTCCTCACTTCCAGGAGCTCTTCCTGCAATGTGTACTACTCCACAATAGTACACTTCTAGTGACATATATGCCCTCTGCCCCCTCCCCTATTGGTTATTCTCGTGATGGTCCATTAACGACTCTCTATGATCGAAGCCTTTTGAGAAGTGGAACGTTGGGCACTCTATTTCCTATGAAGCTAGACGTGAAATCACTTTCGGAGGCTCCAACAAAAGTAACTAAGTCTTTGGGGTATCCCCAACAGGCCCATCGAGCTTCGAAGGAGTAGACGCAGACGCGGCCAGCAGATCGTCAGTCGCATAGGCCTTGTCGATACGGTAGCGAATACCGTTGCATTGTTACCGCAGTGAATATAGCTCGAGAATTCCTCAACGGCTCGTCGAGGATTTCTTTCACGCTCTCTTGCGCAACTATTCACTTCGCCACTCGCGAGCCATCTGTGCTCTCCGCGCACATTCACTATCGGCTCTACTCTCGCGCAGCAGAGAGCGTTGGTCGAGACTCCTCAGCCGTTATTCACCCTGGTTAGGCGTCAGGTTAAATAGAGTGTACCATACTACGTCTCATATCGCACAGCACGCGCTGCGACTCGTCCTTTGCCGCGTCTGCGTCTCTTCCTTCGCCGCGCGATGGGCCTCTTGGGGGACACCCAAAACTTTGTAATCTCGTAATGATTTTGAACAGAAGAAAAGATTCATATAATCGCATGTGCTAAAAACATCTAAGGACCAACGCTTATAACGATAGAGTAGATAAATTACAATAGAACAGACGAATAGAACAGGAATATGTTTTTTGGCACAGGGCAATAAGTCTACGTTTTCTGGAAGTTCTTCTGCTTTCTGATCTCTTTTGCTGAGTCGCTTTGACCGGCCACTAATGGGGTTAACGCAGAGCAAGCCTCACAAGTTGACCCAATTTATACTTCACGTAACTCACTCCATCACTTTTCTTCTAACCAACTGACCGTCATGTCTTCAAAATAGCACAGAGAATTGAAAGGGGTCAATCTTTGCATAGTAGACATTTCATTTGGCACATTCGGGGACAAAATATGACCTCTCTCTTCGGGACCAGTAAATTGGTCTCACTGGCACAGACTTGGACATACAATCTGCTCCGCAAGCAATTTTTGTGACTTATTACGCATTTAAAGGCAATGAAAGTCGAGCACCACGCATTCCAGCAAGAATGACGATCGCGATTTCAATTGAGAGCCGGTTTTTGGCAACTGGGTTGTTTAGAGACGACGGCATTTGAAAGAAGGTCAACACTGACATACTCCCGAAACCTTAAAGTAGAACTAATCCGGATCAGTCGGGTGCCGTGTGGTGGATTACCTGCGCTCATTGAAATCGTCCCCGCCTGAACTCATCTTACAGCCACTCCATCACGATCGCATAATTCATCTGCGAGATTTGCCCGTCAGTTCTTGGTTTCATTGAACGAATGCCCTATTTGCGGGCGAATCTTTTTCGTGTCACTCTGCAATTCGTTTCAATTCAACTTTGACAAACGGAACGCCCAAATTAACTACTTTCAGTCTGATTGTGTCGTTCCATCCTTTAGTGCAAAGGCTGTATTTTCTTGTTTTTGAGTGCTGACTGCTGTTTTTGGCCGGAGTTCGCCATGCGAAAGTATCACGATATTGCTGAGTTATGAGCAAAAACCTTTCTCCCAAGAGGAATTCGACCAGCATCTCTAGTTTTTGACACAAATACAGAAAGAAAGATGCAAGCTCAAATCCTGTTATGGTCGGAAGTTTTGCCTATAAGTCACCATTTTCATTTCATTCCTAGACTGAGGTCGAGTCTGAACATTATACCCTTTCAAAAAATGCCCTGTCGTCGCCACACAAACTGCAATCCTATGTGCCTCCTTCCACGAACGAACAGTACATTGAAAGTTACTCAACGATGTAAGGGTCTTTCCATGTATGCGCCATGCACCCTGCATCCACGCAATAGCTGCCAGAAATGAAATATTAGGTCGGTCCATAAGTCTTGCAACAAACTGGCCGAATTTTGAATTTAATATTTTCATTATCTTTTTGTTCCATTCATCCGGCATGCTACCCTCCATCAATATCTACAACCTATTGCCAACACACTAGTAGCTGCTCGATGCCTCCCTTGTAGGACTCTACTGAATTCTGATCGAAGAAAGATCAGATTTATTTTATTTATTTATTCATTACGCTATGTAAGACAGCGTGAGAAAACAAATATAAGTATATAAAACAACCACTGTAGTAAAATGTAACAACAGAATACCTAAGGCGAAACGATTAGACCCTAGACACTACACATCTATGCATGTAGTATTTGCTTTGCTGCAGCACGTTTGAAGGATGCACAAGAGCTTTGGATGGGTATAGATTTGGTAATACGCAAATACGACAGCCCAGCTCTAATAGTGAAAAAATTCCGCCTAAGGTTGGTTTTAGGCCTATGGAAGGATAACTTGAAATCTCCACCCCTGGTTCTGGATGGAATGAGGTCGTAAAAGTTAGTAAAGTTGATAAGGGTTCGATGACAAAGAAGTCTGTGTAACATGCACAAATCAAAAAGGTCACGTCTGGAATGCAAGGAAGGAAGATGAAAAAATTTATTTCTTATCACAGCATTTGGTACTCTAGCATACAAAAAACCACCACGCCGCAAAAGTACCTTTCTGGTGAAGTTATTTTGGACCTTCTCAATGAGAGCCATATCTTTCTTCTTATGAGGACAAAAAACAACTGTTCCATTCTCTACCAACGGCCGTACATAAGTCTTGTATACTCGAATAAGGACCTTACTATCGTTTGTTGTAAGGGCCTTGAAAATTTGGTATGTACGACGAAATGCTTTTTTGTGAATTTCCTTGTAGTGATCACAGAAATCAAGTTTGTTGTTATATAAATAACCTAAGTCCTTAACCTTTTCAACTTTACGAATCTCTTGGTTCTTTATAAAGTATGAAGAAGAGATGGCAGAAGAAGCACCTATACGCATGTGAAAAGTTTTGGTCGAGGAGAGAGGGATCTGCCAATCTTCAGACCACTGAACAAGACTACTAATAGAATTCTGTAATGAGACTGAGTCTTGTGGAGAATCGATTACTTTGTAGAATTTGAGGTCGTCGGCATATTGTTTGGCAGTAACTTCGTCATTATAACCGATATAGGCCAAATCAGCGGAGTAAATATTAAAGAATATAGGAGAAAGAACCCCGCCTTGAGGAATTCCACTGTGAAAGCGAAATTTATCAGAGTATGAAGTGTTTATACGTACTTGGTAGGTTCTTTCACTAAGGAACTCTTTAATCCAGCTGAACACTTTTTGATGAAGTCCAAGTTTTTTGAGTTTGTGCAACAGCTTATTGTGACTAACCTTATCAAAAGCCTTAGTGAAATCAAAATATATCACATCCACGGACTTCTTATTGTCCAATGCGTTTGTCCAATCATTGAGTGACTCCAGTAAATTGGTGATAACAGATTTGCCTCTAACGAAGCCATGCTGGGAAGCAGGAATTACTTTGTTTTGATCCAGATGGCGGAGAATGTGGGGCTTAAGCAATTTCTCAAAAAGTCTACAGAAAAAGGAGGTGATACTTATTGGCCTGTAGTTAGAAATATCCGAAGAAGGTGGTTTTTTCAAAATCGGGGTGATGTAAGAGTGCTTCCAGAGTCTAGGAACTTCCGAGAACATCATTGACTGATTGAATAAATATGAAAGAGGAAACGCAATAGCATGGGCTACATTTTTGACAAATACAAAGGGGATATGGTCTGGAGTGATAGAATATGACATAGGCCATTTGACTAAGGCGTCGTAAATGTCGTTGGGATCAAAATGAGGGAAAGTATTCATTTCACTTGAAATCGACGGTGAAAATGGCGGCAGATTATCATCGTCCTGCAAAAATGATTTACTGAACACAGCTGCAAAAGCATTCGCCTTGTCGATGTCATTCAAAAGTAATCTTCCGTTGTCCTTTAGATCAGAAAGCTGTGCCTTGGTACGAAGTCTAGATTTCATAAATCTGAAAAATCGATGCTTTTCTTTAGACTCGACTATTTTCTTTTCGACGCTTTTATTAAACTTTACTAGTTTATCCGAAAACGTGGAAGAAAAAGCCTTGTACTCTGTCCAGTCACCAGTCGACTTTGCATAATGTAAAAGACATTCTTTGTGTTCTAACATGTTCTGGAGGTAGGCTGGTAAATTGGACTTATTTGGAAAGACATATGCCCAGGGAACAAATTTGTCTATAACATCATTGAGTATTGAGAGAAACATAACATATTTCTCATCAACCGTAGGAACTGATTCAAAAGATTCGATCCATAAAATGTTGAAAAGATAGTTTGTAATGCTTGTATAGTCACACTTAGAAAAAAGCCTTTTCAGAACTGGTACAGTAGGAAGCAAGCTTCTCATTATTTCGAAAGAGATACTCAAATGGTCGCTATGGCCAATCGATGAGTTGACAGACACATTGCTCAAAAGCTCGTGATCGTTTGAGAAAAGTAGATCTAAAATATTGCTGCCTCTGGTGGGCTCTTTGATGTATTGCTTAAATCCGTGCGAAGCAAATGTAACTGATAGTGGATGAGTCTCTTCCTTCCAGGAATCCCACTGTGCCCAGTTGATTTCCGGCAAGTTGAAATCACCAAGTACTATAACGGGAAATGACACAGTTGACAGATCGCTAATTGCTTTTGCTAACTGCTCGGAAAAAGAAGGGGTTGAGGAAGGGGGTCTGTATATCAGTACAATCCTGAGACGAAATTCAGGTGAAGCGACATCCGCCGCTAAGATTTCATACCCTCTGGGAACTGACTCGGATATAATGATTGTATAATTTAATGTGTTCCTAATGAACATCGAAACTCCACCCCCGGCTCTGTGACTCCTGTCGCACCTCAACACAGCATAGTCATTGATCCAATGATTGAGCATAGATGTCATAGAGTGGTGGTCTTTTAACCAGGTTTCGGTCAAAAGATACAAATCATATCTGTTAGAAGTGACATGATCAAGAAAAACTCTGTTCTTGGGCAAAGACCTGACATTACAATAGAAAACAGTCAGACGTAAAAACGAAATGAAACTAGGATTACCATTTCCATTGTTAGGAACATAAAACCGATGAGGGGAACTCAGTTTTCCTGAGAAGTTGACATGGTTTGGGACATATAGTTTGAGTTACACGAGGCATTATGAGGATGATTGACTTCTAAACGATGTGTGCGTTCCTCCCGGCGTCGCCTTCTCTCCTCAGCAGATAGCGACTCCCTTAGGTAGACGCCTCTCTCGGGGAAAAAGCGAAGTCGGGATGCGCGCCTCACTGCCACACGTTGGAAATACGAAGAAGGTAGAACAACCTTTAGCAATCTGTTTTTTCCTAAAATAGGGCGTCCTAATCTGTAGACCGAAATGGGAACACATTCAACTTCTAGATGTCCTAGAATATTAAGCACACTGTTGAAATCATAGAACAACTTCTTCCTTACAATAGGTTCCTTTAACTCAGGAACGCCTGCTATTACTATGGATCTCCGTCTTTCGGCTTCAGAAAAATCGATACTATTGAAATTTGTGTGGACAACACTAGGCTCTGTAGGAGGCTCAGCACGAATACGAGAAGTATCATTAGAAATACCAAGTTTCTCACGAAGCATGGCATTCTCCTGACGGAGGCGATCTCGTTCCGATTTGACATCGTCCAGTTCCTTTACCAGGGTGTTGAGAACGATTTTGACGCAACCGGGAACGGCGGATGAGCTGTTGACCTCACGCATCAATTCCTCGAGACCAGGCGGATCCGCTACGGGAGAAAGTGGCGAGGTAGATGGGCAAGATCGCTTGGTTCCTTTAAGTGGTACACGAGTAGGAGTATCCATTCAGAAACAAAAGGAAAACTAAAAAGATCCAATAGACCTGTTATTACGACCTCAGAATATTGGATTGACCACGGGTCGTACGTGATCTGCGCTTGCAAAAGAGTCGATACGAACTGCCGCTGTATGCAGCGAATACAAGGACGAATCAGATCTTAACTGAGAAGTGCAGCTGGATTCAGTAAATAAGTGGTAGACTAATACTAGAAGATGATCCGTGCAGAAGGTATAGTTGACAGCAACTGGCAGGGACAGCAGAAGAACAGTTCAGAATGATGGGTCGGGAGCTCTCTCGGACCGACCGCTCACTGCCGGTGCACAATCAATGAATGAATTTTATTCCTTAACTGTTGCTTATCCTAAAAAAAAGCTTTTCTGAATAATGATGGTAATAATACAGGCTAAAAGTTGGCTTCTGACTGTTTTATACACCGGAGTGATGTTTAATGAGATCATACCGAACCCAAAAATCCTCGAATATTGGAAAGATTATCAAGAATTCTATATAGAAAGATTTGAAAGATGAATACTTCTTGAAGCATTTCGAAACACTCGAGATTGCTTCACGCAGGTGGAGTGCTCCGATTTTGGATCATAATCAGCCTAAATCGTATGGCGCAATGCTACATTTTCAGTATCAAAAGTGACCTCATCTCTCATACCTCTTGCGTCTACCTGC